CCCCAGAGGTGCCAGGGGCAGGACGAGCCGCGGCACGTTGCTGGAAGCGCCCGCTCTGTAAAGACGTAGAGACGTGTGTGGCCTGGTTCACTCGTGCCGTGTGGACGTGACCTCAGCCAGCGGGATGGGCTGTGCGCAGCTGAGGTCGGTCGGTGCGAGGAGAAGACGGGTTTTCCGGATCCGCCTCGTGGAGGAGGAAACAAACGGGGCGTCCGTAAAGCGCGGGCATGAGCGAGGCCTCCCTGCTCCGGCGTCCGCGTGGCCGGGCACGGGGAGGGGATGGGCACCCCACAGGCGCGGTGAATGAAGTGTGACGCTATTTTTTATTTTTAAATATATCTTCAGGTTATTTTCTTACTGTTGCTTAAGGTCGTCTGTAAAAGGAAAATGTCTCCTTCTTTCCCATTCCCCCCTTGCCTCACCCGGTCCCGGCTCGATCCCAGGTCTGGCTTCTGCGCCCGGTGCCCGTGCTCGGGCCAGAGAGGGAGCAGATGGGGTTGCCTCCCCCAGGGACCCGGGGGGCCTGCAGGCCTGTCGCGTGTCATTGGCGGGATGACTGGTCTTGACAAACACGCAGCATCGCTGAGACAGACAGACGTCCCCGGACGGCCACTGGCTACGTCTCGCCCCGCATGGGCCAGTGCTTGCCTGTCTCAGGTGGCACATGGGATGGGGGGCGGGTGCTGGCTGGCTGTGATCTCCCGAGGGGCCGGGCCTGCTCACCGCGGGCTGGACACGAAGACAGGACAAGCAGCGGGCAGCCAGGGCCCACTGTTCCCCAGAACATTAGCCAGAGCGGCCGACAGGCTGCCGTCCCCAGTCCCTTCTGGAGCCGCACGCTCCCCTCCCGCCCGACGGACGAGCCCTCACGTTCACAAACGCAGAATCCGTTCTCCTCGGGCCCGGGACGTTCCGTGCGCACACCCATCGGTTACGTGTGCTGGCAGCATGCCCACCTCCGTGCCCCCCCCCCGTGCCCCTGTGTCCTCGGCTCGCGATGACCACCTCTCCCCTGGTGTCCACTCAGGGCCACGACCGCGGCCGGATTCTCAGTCGTGTTTCCAGACGCCTTTGCCGCGCCCTGGACACGGGAGCGAGAGCACTTTGACCACGTGGAGAATCTATTTTTAATTTGTGATGCTTTTTCTACAAGGTCCACTGTCTTCTGAGCTGAATGTGTTCCCCAAACTTAGGGAGTCTCGAATGCAAGCTGGGGAGTTGAGTTTTCTTTTCTGTCCAAATAAGTAAAAGGAAAAAATAAAAGTCTATTTAGATGTTGAGTCTTCGCTCGTATGTGAGTTTGTGAAAAGGTCAGGAGGCGTGACTGGCTCTGCGGTGAGGCCTACACAGCCGTGAGATGGGGATGGTTCTCGTTAACGAGGAAAAGCTTCATGTATGATGAGGCGTCGGCTCCCATGGCCCAGGGTCTTCTTACATGTTACTACAGGGGAGTGAAGGGCTGGAGGAGCCTGTGTTTTCCAGCTGAGAAAGTCTTAGAGCGCGTGCTGCACGGTTTAAGGGCTAGAAGCCCCACAATCCTCGGCCCCCCTTTTAAAGTTTCAGGGATTTCAGGTCTTTGCTCGCCAAGCCTTCCACTGCGTTCTGCACAAACCGTGGCCGTGGCCCCTCTCCCGGTCGCCCCAGCCCTCAGGGCAGCCTGTGAGTAGCCTGGGGTTTTAAAAAATATGTATATTTTTATTGATTTCAGTCAGGGAGGGAGAGGAAGGGAGGGAGAGAAACATCAATTTGTGAGAATCATGGATCGGCTGCCTCTTGGCCGCCCCACACTGGGGAGCCAGCCTGCAACCTGGACATGTGCCCTGACCGGGAATCAAACCCTGACCTCCTGGTTCATAGGTGGATGCTCAACCACTGAGCCACACCGGCCGGGGGAGCCTGGTGGCTTTTTATTCGCATTCGCCATCCAACACGGTGAAAAGTCTAGAGATCAGTAGGAGGGAACGATTGAACCCCCAAAGGGAGACCCACCGCCTGGGAGAACTGAGGATTGTTGCGTGGACGGTGGGCGGGCTGGGAAGAAGGGAAGGTGTAGACAGCCGTGCCTGGTTCCGACAGTGTTGGGTGGGGCCGGGGCGGGGGGAGAAATATTTAATAACCTCAGTTAAATCAGCTTCAAACCGAAATTTGGGGTCGTCGTCTTGCCCGCCTCCAATCTGTCCACTCCTTTGAGATGAGGCTCTCCCGTGTCTGCCCAGCAGAGGGCAGCAGACTACACCTTATGAGCCTCAGGTGTGCGGACAGCGCGTCCTCCAAACACGCTCTGGGCCCCGTGGATGCCGCAGGAAATACGGCCGAGGGAAGAGGGGACCCAGAGGGAAGAGGGGACAGGAGCAAGTCAGCACGACCATCGACCACAGTGACCAGCTGAGCGGGAACCGACGGCAGCACCGTCCAGGGCGGAGAGGCCTGGACCACGGAGCAGGCCTGAGGGGGCGGGGGTTGCGGGAGGGAAGGCGTGAACCCCTCCCGGTCCTGCAGCGACCCCAGGACACACGTGTCACAGGTGTGTTGGCTGCAGAGAGGACGGCTCCCACCGGGGATGGGCCGAGACCCCAGCTGGGGCCTGGCCTCCGGTGCTTGCCTCTCTGTCTGCTGCCCTCCTTCCCACGGTCGCGGTCATGGTCACGGGGATGACAGTGTGACGGGGGGATGGGATGCCCAGCACGGGGTGGGTGGGGGCTCAGCAGCTGAGTGACAGCCCCGTGCACTGGGTCAGCCCGGTTCCAGGCCACCTTTTTACGGTCACTTTTCTCGACGGGGCGGGAGGTGGGTGCTGGTCCGGGTGGGCCTCCAAGCCCGAGCTCCACTCGAAGGTGTTTGCAGGTGCTTCCTGGGTGGGGCACATGTGGCCTCGTTAGCTCAGGACAGGCTAGAAAATGAGGCGTGAATCCCCCCCCCCGTTAAGCTTGCTGTACCTGCATGCATAGCAGGTAAGGATAGGCGATAGGTGAGCGGTTCTCAACCTGTGGGTCGTGACCCCTTTAGCAGTCGAACGACCCTTTCACAGGGGTCGCCTAAGACCATCCTGCATATCAGATATTTACATGATGATTCATAACAGTAGCAACATTACAGTTATGAAGTAGCAACGAAAATAATTTTATGGTTGGGTCACCACATGAGGAACTGTATTTAAAGGGCCAGAAGGTTGAGAACCACTGCTCTAGATGGAGGTGATGAGAGACAGATGACAGATAATAGATGGGTAATAAACAGGAGAGAGAGAGAGAGAGAGAGGAGAGGAGAGAGAGGGAGAAGAGAGGGGGAGAGAGGAGGCCTGGACACCCTGTTTGGACCTCAGTCTTCCTGAGGCCTCGCCCTCAGCTCTGGGCATCCGTGTGTTGGGAGCCTCAGAGGTCCCCTCGGAAGAGCCGCCTGCGCAGGGAAACCTCAGGGGCCTTCGGGAGTCCCGGCTGCTGGCTCCTGGTCCCCGTGCCCCGCGGGGGGCTGAGCTGGCCTAGCTGCTAGGAGGCCCGGCCACACCTCCATCAGCAGCCTCCCACCCTCTCCCCGGTTCCGGAAAGTAACCAGGGCTCTTTTAAGAATATATATTTATTTGTATTGATTTCAGAGGGGAAGGGAGAGGGAGAGAGAGAGAAACATCAATGATGAGAGAGAATCATGGATCGGCTGCCTCCTGCACGCCCCCCACTGGGGATCGAGCTCATAACCCGGGCATGTGCCCTGACCGGGAATTGAACCCTGACCTCCTGGTTCATCGGTCGATGCTCAACCACCGAGTCACGCAAACCATGGCTCTTTAAGGAAGAGAACAGCCCCAGGTGTGGGTTGTGGAGCGGCACGAGGAGCCCTGTGACGGGATATTCCCGGGATAAACCGAGGCGGAGCCGCATCACGTGGCCTGGGCGAGGGCTGCCGGAGGGAGGGCGGAGCTGGGGGAGGGACAGCGCTGGTGGGTGCCTGACTCCCCAGGACTCGGCCAGTGTGGGCCCCCGAGGCTGCAGGGGTCTCCTTCGGAAAATGGCAAAAAACAACGTCCATTTGAAGAGCTGTCGGTGGGGGAGACGGCCCCTTGCCCTGTGCCCCTCCCGGCCGGCCGGGCACACCAGCCCCAGGCCCAGGGGAAGAGGAAGCGCCTTCTGGAGGAAATGAGCACATGATCTGGGAAGAGGCCGACCTTTGAGTGGGAGCCGGTGGACCCCTAAAAGGTGAGCCCGCGGGGCAGCGGCCCTCCCATGTTCCCTTTCCTTCCCACGCCCCCAAGCAGCACAGAACCAGACGAAGCCCAAGGACTGGGTGCAGGGGCAGCAAAGGGATTGCAGCTCCGAGGGGTGGGGGTGGGGGTGCAGGAAGGGGCAGCTGGCCCCTGGGGAGCCCCCCCTCTAGATCTGAGGGCCTGGGGGGGCAGGACAGATATTGGAAGGTCCTGGAGCTCCTCCTCTCACCTCCTCAGCTCTCAGGATTGAAACACCCCTTGAACCCACGCGTGGATGCACAGAGGCGAACTTGGAGGCTCGGGCAGGAGGTGGGCGTGGCCTGGAGCAGCCCGGGAGGCAGCAGGTAAGCGCCAGGTGGGAGCTGGGAGGAGAGAGCCTGAGAGGCGACTCTGGATATCACTCAGCATTGAGTCAAATCCCTCCTCCTGGACTTGCAACTTGGAGAGGCCCTGTGGGCCCTGGGGACAGTCTCTACTTGTGGGATATGCGAAGTCCTGTCGGATAAAAGAGCACTTGGGGGTCTGGTTCAGTGCTGTTCTTGTCAGAATCGGAGGCAGGGCTGGGCTCTATGGAAGAGCAGTTTTATTCCTAATAATCTGAACAAGTTGCAGTGGGTTGCGCCGCCCGCACAGCTGTGACCGCAGTCGCTGAGCGGCGGCCAATGGCTGGTGTGTGTCCCAGGGCTGCCCTCCAGGAAAGTGAGGGTGGACTTGATGGAGGGTGAGGTCCACTAGGGCCCCAGGCTCGTCACTCTGCCCAGACCCCAAGTGCAGAACGAGATTGAAGCCAGGTAACGAGGCGAGGCGTGCAGGGGCCTCCACACAGGTGTCCCTCAGGCCCGTTACCGATGACGGACCGGAGGCACCACGGGAAGTTTAATGATGCTGATCACAACAGCTGAGGCTGTTCTAAGGCCGCCCATTAACTGCCACAGGCCTCACACACAGTCCCTTCTCCCTCTTTTTCATCCTGACAGCAGCCCTGTGATGTAGGAACGATGATTATCCCCAGCTCCAGATGTAGGGACCGAAGCACAGAGAGGTTAAGGAACTTGGTCAAAAATCACACAGCCGGGCAGTGACAAAGCCCCGTGTGAATCGAGGCAGCCCGACCCCACGGCCACACCCTCGGTTATCACACCGCGTCGCTTATACCGACTTCAGAGGGTGTGGTCCTAACAGCTGACCGCTGGGTGCTGTCCAGGGGCCAGACTCTGAGGTCAAGGGGTCGACAGGGTCACGCTCCCGCCAGGGCCCTGGGACCGTCCACCCCTTGCCTGTTCTCACTTCTGGTGGCGGCTTGTGGCCACGTCGCTCCAGTTTCTGCCTCTGTCTTTATACGATCTCATCCGTGAGTCAGAACTCCCTCTGGCCCGGCCGGCGGGGCTCAGCGGTTGAGGTCGACCTTTGAACCAGGAGGTCACGGTTCAAGTCCTGGTCAGGGCACATGTCTGGGTTGTGGGCTCCATCCCCAGTGTGGGGCGTGCAGGAGGCAGCCGACCCATGATTCTCTCTCATCATTGATGTTTCTATCTCCCTCTCTCTCTCCCTTCCTGTCTGAAATAAAAAATATGTATATTTTTTAAAAAGCCCCCTCTGCCTCTCTTGGGACACGTGTGGTTGGATTGAGGCTACTTGGACAATCTAGGGCCATCTTCCCACATCAAGACCCGAACGTTGATCACAGCTGCAAAGACCCGTGTTCCTTACAAGGTGACACCCACAGGCTCAGGACGTAGGACTAAGACCTTTGAGTGGCCACTGTCCCTGCCTACCACCCCCGGTCCATCCTCTGGGCTCAAAGATGCATGTCCATCCCACGGACAACATACACTCCCCTCCACCCAACGTCCCAGAAAGGCTTGGCCCGCCCGTCACGGCCTCAGATCTCATCTCTCGCTCAGAGTCCCCAATGGCATCATCTAAGCCGGGCATCGGCGGGCGAACCCCGGTCTGACTCATCGGGGAGGTCCGCTCCGTCTGTGGAGCTGAGAGACCAGGAAATAACTTCATCCCCAAATACGAACGCGGGGAAGGCATGGCATAGCCGTTACAGACCTCCTCACTCCACAGGGGGAGGAGAGGAAAAGGGGGCGCTGGCCTCACGCACCTGGGGCCCAGCAGGCAGATGCGAGGTGTCGAGGTCCCGGCGGCAGGCCCCGCCCTGGGCCCGCGTGCAGGTGCCAGGGGTCGGGACTAACGAGATTCAGTATGGCTCTTCCACAAAATACCGGCTCTTCCACAAAATACCGACTTCTGCGCATGGGCCACGAAGTTTCAATCGCACTGTACGTGCACCCGCACGTGGTATTTTGTGGAAGAGCCACACTCAAGGGGCCAAAGAGCCGCATGTGGCTCGAGAGCTGCGGTTTGCCAACCACGAGCCTAGCCTACTACACACCTAGGCTATATGGTACAGCCTATTGCTCCTAGGCTATAAGCCTGTACAGCATGTTACTGTTTAAAACAAGAGGAGAGTAAATCAAGCATGAAAGAAATTATGCGGTAAATATGGAGTGTATGAGGCTGCTGCCTGTGGCATAACACAGCATACATACTGTTTTACAGAAAACTTATTTTTTAGAGGACATTTAATTTATTAAAGCTGGGGACAGTGAAGCAAGGAAGGGCTTAGGATAACAGGAGAGGGACTGGGTGGGGAAATGAGCCTCAGCTGGGCTGCTTTGGCGCACTAAGAAGTCGGAGAAAGGGGGACCTTGGGGACAGTTCAGGGGGTTCCCAGGATGAGCTGCTGCTGCCCATTGCTGCTCTGGTTGCAAGCCTCTGGGGTCCCTTAGAGTTTAGGCGATGCCTGGGGTCTCTGTTCTGTTCCATTGATCTACAGGCCTGTTCTTGTGCCAGTACCAGGCTGTTTTGATTATGGTGGCTTTGCAGTATAACTTTCTATCTGGTATTGTGATTCCTCCAACTTTTCTTTCTCAAGATTGCTGTGGCTATTCGGAGTCTTTTTTGGTTCCATGTAAATTTTTGGAGGATTTGTGCTAGATCTGTGAAATATGCTCTTGGTATTTTAATAGGAATTTCATTGAAGCTGTAGATTGCCTTGAGTATTATGGGCGTTTTAATGATGTTAATTCTACCCATCCATGAACACAGTATATTCTCCCATTGTTTATATCTTCCTCTCTCGTTATTCAACAACCTGTAGTTTTCTGAGTACTAGTCTTTTGCCTCTTGGTTAAGTTTATTCTTAAGTACCTTAATTTTTTTGTTGCAACGGTATATGGAATTGTTTGCTTAGTTTCTGAGAATTCATTATTGGTGTATAAAAGAGCCATTGATTTTGGGGTGATTTTGTATCCTATGTTGCCAAATTCATTGATCAAACCTAGCAGTTTTGTGGTGGAGTCATTAGGGTTTTCCATGAGAGAATTCATTATTGGCATATAAAAAGAGCCATTGATTTTGGGGTGATTTTGTATCCTGCTACATTGCCAAATTCATTGATCAAATCTAGCAGTTTTGTGGTGGAGTCATTAGGGTTTTCCATGTACAATATCCTGTCCTCTGCGAATAATACGAATTTTACTCCCCCCTTTCCGATATGGATGCGAAGGGCAGTTACTTTAAAAGGCCGAGGACGAGGGAGAACCGTAGCCAGCCTGGGACGGAACTGAGGAGCTCAGATAACTGGGAGACAGGTGTACAGTGGGGCCTTGACTTACGAGTGTCCCGACTAACGAGTTTTTTGAGATACCAGCTGTCTCTCCGCCGATTTTTTGCATTGAGTTGATAAGAGTAATTTGAGTTAACGAGCTCCTTAACGAGCTCGGTCTCGGAACGAATTAAACTTGTAAGTCAAGGCCCCACTGTATTGATCTTAAATACTTTAAAAGCTGTGCAAACATGCTTCCCTCTCCCCACCCGGGTCTGGACCGGAGGCGCTGGGTCTGGCCGCCCAGAACTGACTCCAGGTGAGTGCCTAGGAGCGGCGTGACCTTGAGCAGGTCAGCCCCTGACCTTGAGCAGGTCAGCCCCTGACCTTGAGCAGGTTAACGGCTTCAAGCACCAGCCTCCGCAGCCGGCGGTAAAATGCACCCCCAAACACCACCTCACCCGTGACTGTGGGGAGACAATGAGGATGGATCTCAGGGCTTGGCGCCTGGCACACCATAAACCCTCTACAGTGGTTCCCAAACTTATTTGGCCTACCGCCCCCTTTCCAGAAAAAATATTACTCAGCCCCTGGAAAGTAATTTTTTTAAAATTTTAGTAGCAGTTACTCATTGCCCCCAAATGCACCTGTGGCCATCACCGCCCCCCTGGATCGCTGCAGCGCCCACCGGGGGGCGGTAGCGCCCACTTTGGGAATCACTGCTCTAGAACGATGACGGCTATTATCATGAATAAGATTAAACAAAAGGGCGCAGGGGTGAATGGTGGATGCATCTGGACGTGTGATAAGGAACGGCCTTGAGCAGCCCCCCCCCCCCCCCCC